AAAAAAAAAAAAAAAAAAAAAAAAAAAAAAAAAAAAAAATAAAATAAAATAAAATAAAATAAAATAAATACCTATGCGTAGAACGAAAGCGGAGATGCAGCTTTTTTTTTTAATTTTATAAGCGACAAAGTCGAGAAGAAAGAGAGAAAGGAGACAGAGTCCAAGGGGCCCAGAAAAATAAAAAAAATTATTTTTATATTTTCTTTCTATCCAATTAAATATATAAAATAAACGATAGGCACCCAACACCAGTACATACACCGTAAGCAGCTGCTGCTCGTTCTCTGGGTCCCTGTAGCAATATATAAACTGAGGCAGCATTGCGAAACCCTGTACATACACACAAATATATTTATTTATTTATTTTGTTTTTATTTATTTTGTTTTTATTTTTTTTTATTTGGTTTTTTTGTTGTTTATATATAGATGTAAGCAGCTGCTGCTCGTTCTCTGGGTCTCTGTAGCAGTATATAAACTGAGGCAGCATTGCGAAACCCTGTACATAAATAAATAAATAAATAAATAAATAAATAAATAAATAAATAAATTTAGTTTTTATTTATTTATTTAGTTTTTATTTATTTATTTGTTTATTTATAGATGCATGTATAGATGTAGATGGGTATCTATAACAGTATATAAACTGAGGCAGCATTGCAAAACCCTGTACATACACACAAATATATTTATATAAATATATTTATTTATTTATTTATTTATTTATTTTGTTTTTATTTATCTATTTATTTTATTTATATAGATGTATGTATTTTAGGTGTAGATGGGCATCTGTATTAAAATATATAAACTGAGGCAGCATTGCGAAACCCTGTACATACACACAAATATATTTACTTATTTATTTATTTATATTCATATCAATATATATATATATATATATGTTTATTTATTTATTTATTTTTATTTATTTATTTATAAACATAAATATAAATAGAAGCAGATATATAGACACAGACAAACAACCAAACAACCAAAACAAGCAAAACAAAAAAACAAACAAAAAAACTAAAATAAATAAACGAATAAATGAATAAAATAAATATATAAATAAATAAATAAATAAAATAAACAAATAAAAATAAATAAATAAATAAACAAAAATAAATAAATAAAATAAATAAATAAATAAATAAAAATAAATAAATAAATAAATAAATAAAATAAAATAAAATATATAAATAAATAAATAAAATAAATAAATAGAAATAAATAAAATAAATAAATAAAAATAGATAAATAAAATAAATAAATAAAAATAAATAAATAAATAAAAATAAATAAATAAATAAAAATAAATAAATAAATAAAAATAAATAAATAAACAAAATAAACAAAATAAACAAATAAAAACAGACAAATAAATAAAAATAAATAAATAAAAAAATAAATAAAAATAAATAAATAAAATACCTGTAGATAGTGCGAAACGATCCAAAAGAACTGCAAAACAACTTCTTCAGTTTTTCCGTTTATTTGTTTATCTAAAATAAAATTAATAAACCCAAAAAGAAAAGATAAAATAAAAATAAAAAATAAAGAGCATGAATCCTTCTTTCTATCCCAAGAAGAACGTAAACAAAATATAGATATCACCAAACATAAAGAGCTTAACATATAAAACACCTTCAGGCCCTGTATACACACACACACACATATATATATATATATATA